ATTCACTTCGCATGAACTATTAAACACTCAAGTTGTCTGTTAATGATACGTTATGAGGTCAGCAGTCTAGACACTAACCGATTTTAAGCCACCTACTAATTTTCTCAAGACCTAAATGTTGGTTTAACCAAAATTTATTAAGTGGATAAAACAACAGCATTGAACCGTTACATTAATATGACTACCGAAAGTAACCGTCAAAGAAACAAACTACTGAAATACTAAAAGTTCTTCACATATTCTTGATGCATTCAACAATACAGGGAGCTAACAAAAGATCAATATCAAGTTATTAGCCAAGCTATTTAATTGGTTAAATAGACTCTCGAAAATTCGGAATCTAAGATAGTAGGGAGCTAACGATTACAACAGTCAGAGTAACTTGATTCATCATTTTCCCACTTACTTTATACCATTTTCCTCGCTTTAAACCGCAATCATAGAGCAATATCTCTGAATATGACTGCCTTGTTGGTTCATCTCTAAGCATATCCGGTGAGATTTGGTGAAGTTTGTGTATCTGCTTTCCAGGTAGTGATCGTCGAAGACGTGCCAACTCACCCCTTCCACCGACTTGAATTTCGAGTTGATTTGATTCAAAAGCGAGCTGGGTAAATTCTGCGGCAACGCGGGTTTCCGCGTCATTTCCCTTGGGAGAAATCCGTAAAAGCTGGAAAAATTAAAACTCTAAATTTAAATGTCTTTCTTCCTGTTGTCCTATGTACTCAAATCATATCCAGTCAAACATCGATCACCTCGCAACAAGCCTCACCATATCGTATTCCACCATTATATTTTCCCTTTCTAAATAAACTCGAGTTTTGAAAATTAAACTACTTTTGCTTGATTCCGCAAGGTGAATTAGAATAAACTGAGGAAATGACAATTTGGTGCGAATCATAAATTTCTTGATAAATTTGATTTTATCAATGATAAGATATGGATTTAACGCTGGAATTAGTCAGCACATATGGGGCATCTAGAGCGTAATATTTGGTTTGCTCAAAGGCTTGAAGGATTTCTACGTTATTTCTTTTGAGATAGCTTGGCAATCTGACAGGAGCAGAATTTTTCCGCTTTATTTAAGCCATGTCTTCACTACAATCGAAACGCTGAAAATGTCTTGAATATGCTGGTTAACTTCTTGCGAACCATGTCTATTTATAATCATTAATTCCTTAATAGACAAAGCTTTCAAACTCCACAAAAGCTTTTATTTCTAAAATAACAATCGGAAAGAAAAAGGATGCATTATAGCCTAATTCCATTTTTAAAAATACCCCCAAAGCGGAAGACGAAATTTGAACAAATTAAGGGAGTGCTTTCATACCTCGGTATGCCAGTTGACGTAGTTTGCAGTGCTCAGGACACCAGCCCGATCATAATTACTAACTACAAGATAGTATTTTCTGATTGGACCCAAGTTCTCGCTGACCCGAAGAAGACGTACAATGACCTCATTGGTGTCTGCCTTGAAAGCCACTGGAACTGGTGCTGTGATGTTAACAGGAGCTAAAATAAACAATAAATGTGCGGATAATTGAACAATTTGTAGATTTAAGGCTGAATAATCAATACTTATTAAACAATTATCACATCTCCGAGAAACGAATATGAACTAGCTTGTGGTGCCTGCTAGATACTTATAATTTAAGAAATATTAGTTTTCAGATAGTTAAAGACTGGCTGGTTTTTTATTAAAGACGTGTAAAGCTGATACGCAGACGTTCTAATCATGAGAGGTTGCTGATAGAGAAATCCACAAAATAGAAAAAATAATGAGACTTAATTTCTCCGTTAATTCGAAGAAAGAAATGTAGCGCTCACAAAAAACATGCTTGATCCTTTTGTATTGTTCAAGGATGTCTTTTATTCCTCTATCTTAATTAACCAATTCTCCCCACCGGATATGCGTAGGTGGTGTCCGCCATATTTGGCGTCACTCCAAAGTTGCTCAATAATTCCCTATACTTTCAGTGATGGGAAGCCCACAATTAAGGCAATCAAGTGATTTTTATTTAGTTCGTGGGGTGTGCAATAGACCTACCCCCACGTGGTGTATCCCGGGCAACGTTTACTTATACAGCAAAAAAGTCTATTAATCGGCAGTTGACGTCTGACTTCAAACTACTATGAACGCACTATGTCATATTCGATTACCTCCGAAGTACTCATCTTAACTTTTCTCTGCCTTTGTGTCTGACTGTCTCTTTTACATCTGTGAATCACTCTTCTGTTCTCCAACCCCTCGACTTGTTGTCACTTTTATGTTCCTCCTTCTCTCTGTGAAGCCCCGAAGTCAGCTAAAGGGCTAATGATAACTATCAAAACGCCTGCCATTTGAAATAAATAACTTATTGAGTTCGTCTATTTTGGGGAGAAAATAATTTCTAAAGATAAACTATAAGCATTTAGGGTAGTAAAGTTCACTTATGCAACAGTGGAAATTTAGAACAAAAGAGGTTACTTGTTTCCGTGAGGTACAATTTACACAACCTAATGAATTCAAAGACCAAATCTTACAACTTCTAGCTAATGCAATGAATTCCATTTCAACCTTGACGAATATTTCAAATTTGTAATTTTCCTTTAACGAATTTTCTTTCCACGAAGAAATCTGTAAATTTATTTCTAAATCTCGCAGTAGACAATAGTAAAGTCATCAGTGAAGTAATTTTAAAATAAAATTCTAATGTATCCCTCTACATTTCGGACGGAATGCCGATAAGTTTACAAATCTGTGGCGTCATAGACAATCGGCATATTTTTAGCCAAAAGATAAGTACAAGCATGGAAATTAATAATATTAGTAGTTATGTATTCGCAGATTAAAAGTCAGTAGTGAATCATTAATTATCATTGCTTATCATTACTTATCATTAATTGTCCTAAGTGTGAAGAAGAGGCAATCGCAAAATCGAATAGAATATGAATTATTTTTATTTTAAAAAACGCTCGGAAATGATTTAAAATACCCAATGATGGGTAAATCAACGTTTCAACAATAAATCCAACGTTAATCTTGATGGCCATTTAAGCATTACTGCAACTGCGGTTGATAAGGAATTAAATTAATCGGTACGATCTAATTTACAATGAGATCTATTCACTTCGAAGTATTTAATTTATTCGGCACTCCAATTGATTAAATTTATAAGGTGTCAAGTGTGCTTTTAGCTCTTTTAAATGGAAATGGCATTCAAATTTGGGCATCATCTATTTGGAAATAAGACAATTTCTCAACCGTTCTTGCTCTTATTCAATGCTCATTTAAAATAATGAATGCTTTATTTAGAAGCGAATGGGAAAGTTAGCAGTAACGCCAAGAAAGGACAGAGCTTACGGTGCATTCGAGTTCGACAACTCGTCTGTTCCCACAAAGCTTCGGTATCCATGATTTGCCTTCCAGCCACTTTCTCATAGACTGGTCTTACTTTCACGTCGAAAGCAGCATTTGGTTCCAGATTTTCGACCGTGTGAACTAACAACTGGTCTTGCTCTCCCGTTAGAAAGTCATCTCGGACGATTGAAGGACCTCGGAAGCTCAGCTGCTTGTTTGAACTGACCGTCAGTTTTCGAGGACCCAGAGTTAATCCAACTGGTTCATTGAGTTCGTTTATGAACGATTTGACTCCACTGATTTGAATCTGGGAAATAATTATGGCAAATATGACAAAATTACTTAAAATGCCTTTTGAATTAATTCTAAATTTAAATACCACATAGGTAGCACACATTTTAATCATCTAATATCTAACGAAAATTTTTAATCAAGTAATGAAATGAAATGTTCCTTTGGTAGGTTTAGAAAAACACGCAAAAAAGATAATTATCGGTGAATGCCTTTCGGTTTGTACTGGAGAAAATTAGGCACATCAAAGTATCCGTTCTAATATCTATGGTTTAAGTTAGTTTTTTATCACTTTCAATTGGTTTACTGTGTAAATTGTTTCCTATCGAAATGAATAATCGCATAAGTTGTCCATGCATGCATAAATTGGTATAAATCGGAACATTTTTAATGAAAACTGAAATTTTCATTCTGCCATCTTCCTGTTGGAGACGCTTAAGTGAATGATGCAAGCAGAGATAAAATTGTGTAATCGACGTATATGAAATCTTTTACTTTCCCTAAAGAAGTAGATTTCCGTCAATATTGATAATCGATATCCGAGCCACCAAAACACCCATATTACTATAGCGCACTTTTGCAATATTTCCTTAACTCTTAGTTAGAGTGAAAAATTTATAATTGTACTTTAATAATTAAAATTAATTGTTAAGACGATTTAGCTACTCTCTTTAATAAAATGAAAGTAAGCACGCAATCTATGGCAGCTCAAGGTATGGAAAAACAAAACCTTCAGAAACTAATTAATAAAAATGAGAGAGACTAAGTAGTTCTTAAAGAAACTTCGGAACAGGCCACTTATTCAAAACTCCTATTTTAATAAGCATCCAAGCACATTAACCAGAGCTCAAATCATGTTCTAGAATTTAACTAATCAAAACATAACATTTGTTGCCCAGTAGGTGCACAACATCATCTACCCACAGAATAGGAAAGTGGCAGTAGTTGCTTAGATCATGCAAAATAAAGTTTAGATAAAGCCTGGTAATACGACTTTTAGGTACGTTACTCAAGCAAGGATTGATCGCATTCGATGTCATGTGAGTTGCTGTCTTATACTGACCTGCACCGCGTTTTAGGTTAGTAGCAAATGGGCTGTGCGATAAGCTTACCTCCATGTGGTGCACCCTGGGCAACGTATACTCATACGGCAAAAAAGCCTATAAACAGGCAGTTGACTTCTCACTTCAAACTACCATCACCCCCACTGTATGTCATATTCGACTACTTTCACAGTACTCATCTCACCTTTTTTCTAACTTTGTGTCTGTCTCTTTTACATCTTTGAAACACTCTTCTCTTCCCCCTCCCCTCTCGACTTTTTCAATTTGATGTACCTTCCTCTCTGTGAAACCTGAAGTCACTAAAGGGCTAACGATAACCATCAAGACGCCTGCCATTTGATATAATAAGGTTAGTTGCAAATTGATTTCCTTGACCACATCTTGCTCGTGTCGGCCGTCTGAATTTAGACACAAATCTTCTCTGATTCTCTTAAGCTGTAACCATACGTGCTAAATGAGGCCCTCGTGATCCGGGTATCTAAATTTGGGGTATCCAAAGCAAATTTCCCATAAAATTAACCTCAATACTAGCATCTAATCGAAGCTGACCCACTACATTAATTCAATATTACAGTTAAGTGTCTTCCTGCTAATCTCTTTGTTCGTCTAATAATCGGTAAACTTATGCCGGATCTTCAACTTTATACATATTAATTAAGAAAATTACAATAATTACCACCAAACATCATTCAAATTGGATCTTATAATTATACTGGTTTATAAATCGTACATTTTAGTGGTATTAAGAATTTATTAAATGCTCCTTAAGGACTGACTCATTGAGATTAGGAGTCCCCCACCTTAGCAATTTGAGATGAATGCTGCGAGCATGATCATTAAAATAACATAATGAAAATGATACAGAGCTGAATTCAAACCAATGAAATGGAAACGCCATGTGGTATGGTTTGATGAGCACTTAACTCAACCATAACCACGCTTAAATTAAATCTGGTCATAATCTGTTCTCATTTCAAATGCCATGGCACTCCCCATGCCATTTTGTTAAAAAAAGAGTAGTCATTAAGTGAGGAGGGGATGATTGATTTTACACCCGTGTTTCAAGGTCAAACCACATGTGTGATGACTCACGCCTTTACCCAAAATGCCCTACCCCCCCACGTCACCTCATTTGTCATTACTTTTATATGGAGGAAACGCAACCGGGGCATTGTGACGTTCAATCGGCTGTAAGCGGCCGAACTAAGACCGCGCAATTCGCATCTGCAAAATTCCTAAATTTTAGCCTCACTTTTCTTGCTAGTTTTATAACTCTCAACAAGGGGTGTGCGATAGACTTACCTCCACCCTGGGCAACGTATACTCATACGGCAAAAAGGTCTATTAACCGGCAGTCGACTTCAAACTACCATGACCCCACTGAATGTCTTATTTGACTACTTCCACATTACTCGCCTCACCTTTTTTATACATCTTTGTCTGTCTCTTTATTCCACCCCCCCCCTCTCGACTTTTTTCACTCTGATGTTCCTTCCCGTGTACCCCCCACCCTTGGGGAAGCTGAATTCACAGTTTAAGGGCTAATGATAAATATCCTAAAGCCTGCCATTTGGAATAAATAAATAAATAAATGTTCCTTCCCATCTGTGAAGCCTGAAGTCAACTAAAGGGCTAATGATAACTATCAAAACGCCTGCTATTTGATATAATATACATAAATAAATGATCGACAATTACGGGTGTTTCTAGTAGATAGGTAGAGCTAGTATATTTTAAGGTCATTTTAATTGCCAAAACAATACTATTCAGCTGCCTATGGAATCTAATGAACGACTTCCAACCGAAGGATGGTTGGCTCAGTATGAAGAACGGAAGATAAAAGCATAATTTTTCATTTTTGATTCATCAGAATGAACTTAGAGTAGGGCATTGCACCTTTTGAGCGAACATAGTCAAATTTAGAGTATTTTTTAATTTAAGAGTATGAAGAAAAGGAGAATTGAACTCTTAAATGAGACATTTTAAGGTTGGGACTATTGCTTTATAGACAATTTTGAAATTGCGCAAATTTTGATTTTAATTGGGAAGAATGAGGAGTGTAGCAACTTTCTTGAATGCTAATGAAAATGGTGACTGTCTTAATCTTCTAAAAGTTAAAAAAAGTTAGACAATTCAAACAAGAATTTTTATAATCAAATCTCTCCCCTAGGTCCCCATATTTCAATCGACCAAATTTGGCAACTTTGGGATTTTTGCGATCGTCTGTATTTCACACATAATGAGCTTTCTTCTGTCATCGTTGTTGCAATGTGCTGAAGGGATATGGTCTCTCAACCCGGAAATGAAAGCTGGAAGATATTTCAAAATATTATGAGCTTTTGTTTTCCCATGAGCACAAATCATTGCACCCTTGCTCATGGTTGGATAGAGCACGGCAATCGTACACTTCCAATGGGAAATCACATTACTCAGGTTGCAGTGTCGCATTTAGTCAGTTGAAAAAAGTGGACTAGAAACACAACACAACTCAAAAGACAGAAGTTGTAAAATGTAGAGAAATAAATGACCAACTTGAAGCTATCTGAATAAGTGAGAGAATGAGCTTAAGGTAGTTGGAGGCGCATTACTGTCAATGCCTTCAGATACTGAGGAGAATTGCCCATGGGACTTAAGTGGTGAAGGCACCATCCAAAATGATCAAAATACTTCCTTTATAGATCGAGGTAAAGTGAAAAGTTAAACTAACCTTGATAATGTTTCGTTAACAAGCAATAAATTAGATTTGTTGTTATTTGTACGTAATAAAATTAAGTCCGGTGGATTTTCCCCACTAAGATAGTTCGCGGAATGCTTATGGAGATTGCACAAGCATTGCACCGTTTGAAGAGGCAATGAAAATTGCATCCAGGTAGACCAACATTGTCAACCGTACCCTTTTTTGTTATTTTCGAATAAAAAACCGATCAACTATAGAATGGTCTCAGAAAAATTGTCTACCATGGATCACCTATGTATCCTGATCATGAATAGCGCTATAAGCAGCCTTGCGATTCTGTCAAGAGCCTTAGTCATTTGTCAAGGCATCAATCAGACTCAACACGAAAAACCAGCTATCAAGGCATTAAAATATAATGATTTTTAGAGGAATTTATTATTGAATGATGCCGAAATACCATTTTCAATTGATTATCATTTAATTGATCCCAATTTGTTAAAACCTAAACGATTAACGATGTCGTCTTGCTGCATTTCAAGCCAAACAAGAACGCATAGACCTTTATATTTAATATTTTCCTATGATGACTAAGTATAATGTACTTTAGAAGTAATTTAAAAGAAGTAAATTGCGTAAAGTTCCCACGATATCTGACTTGAAAGGCGGAAGGAGGAGGAGGAGGTGGGGGGTTTGGGGTGATACGAAGGCCCTCGCTTTCTGTCAACTTACTTGATGGCAAAAATTGACCTCTGCGCCAATGAACAATGACCACATGGCATTTGGTTTAGTAGATGTACACGTTGATCTCTTCCACTAAGTGGGGCATAGCTCCATTGATTTATCTCTCACAGTAACTTCGATATATCCTTGATAGACGTTACCTAGACGACATTTAGTATTACGCCTTCTAGGACAAAATATTGTTCTTATTTAATGAGATTTATTTATCATTAGCCATTTAGCTGACTTCGGACTTCACATTGGGGAGGAGGAACATCAAAGTGGAAAATGTGGAGAGGAGGGGGGGGGGGGCAGAAGAGCGTTTCAAAGATGTAAAAGAGACAGACAGACAGACACAAAGGTAGAAAAAAGGTGAGGCGAGTACTATAGAAGTGGTGGAATATGACATACAGTGGGTTGATGGTACTTTGAAGTCAGAAGTCGACTACCGGTACTAGACTTTTTTGACGTATGAGAATACGTTGCATAGGGTGCACCAGGTGGAGGTAAGTCTATCTCTCACCCGATATTTAATGAGTTAAAGAGTTTTGTCACTGAAATAGTGATATAGACCAACAAGATTTTAAATTTGGGTATTATAAAGTGAATATGGGTAACCTAACTAGAGCTACGATTATAATAGCTTATTTCTCC